TAGGAAACACGAGATGCCATTTTCGCCGACATGCTCTCATTCAACACAGCTTTTTCCACGAAATTCGAACTCCAACGGAAAATAAACATGCCAGGATCGTAGAAATAGGATAGCAGCAGATATAAAAACCAATGAAGCTTTCCCAGATACAGAAACGAATCCCACAGACTTTGACAAACTCGAGGGATATAATCCAAACAGACCGAGAATATGCTCGCCGAAGCAGCCGGGCCAGATCAACGCGCGGCCAAGAAAATGAGGCCTGGGCACTGTACAAAAAATTCCATCCCGGGAGTTCCTGAGGTGACCTTTCTGGGGACCGATACATCCTTTGCCCAAAGCCACCCTACCCTGCTGAAAAAATACTTGATAGAAGGTTCAAGCAGACTCTCAAGGTCACGTTTCGCATTATCACGAGCTTATGAGTCGTGTTTGGCCTGTCAACTACGGAAGCTCAGAGGGGCCACATAGTGATTTCCTTTTAATTTTTCACTTTTCCGTTTTCGTTTTTAACGTTTTGATTTTCACTTCGCCATTTGGCTTTTCGGTTAAGAATTCGGTTTTTATTTTTACTTTTCAGTTTTTGTTTTTGCTTTTAAATTATATAATGAAAACCAAAACCAAAACCTAAATATAAACATTAAAACCAAAACCGACACAGTAGACCATCATGCTTTGTTGGACGATCAATATGGCTGATCAAAGCCGTTCATCCCGCGGAGTGCGGCTTTGTTGACGATGTTAGCCCAGGTAAATTTTCTAATCAGTTTATCTCCATTGATTGCTCTAAATCATAAACTGTATTTCTTTTCAACGTACCTTTTAATTCTTATATTTAAGCTATGAAAATCGCGTTAATCGACTAGATCATCAGAAGGCTTTGATTGGAGGTAGTAATGTGCTGTAAGCTACCGCACATTTGTTAAGCTTTCATTTACACTAGATCGTAATCAGTTAGACTGTGAATATAAGGGGGAATATATTCTTTGAGCATAATGGAACGATCAAAGCATGGGCCGTAAGTTTTTAACACGTGTCGGCTCTCAAAATCAGATAGATTTGGAGTCACACTGTATGAGAAGCATACGAAGAATTCTATGAGGAAAACCCTCCCATTCCTACAGAAAAGAAAACTCGTTCCAATTCAATGGAAAAGATTACCTCCAAACTCATGGAACAGCCATGGGAACGAAAATTGCCGTAGCTTTTGCTAACATATATATGGCCAAAATAGAATCAAAGGCTCCTAGGAGCAAGCTCATGGATGAATTGAATTAGTGTCGAAAAGACAGTTCAATAATCAAAGAAAAACATATAAATCTTTTTGAACGGTTCATGGTGTACGGACTTGCTGGGACTTGCCAAAACACAGCGTGACTCGAAGTATCCGATTGCATGTGTACCTGAATATTCTATAAACTTTTTAACAGCGCAGCATTTCTGCTTTAACAAAGCAAAGATCACTTTTAAAAGCAATTATTAACGCTTTTTAGTTGTAAAATAATTTGCTTTCTAATGTGACTGTCAAACACTTTCCGAACGACAGTGCACTTTCTTGTAAAATAGCCAAGTTTTACATACATGAGTTTTATTTAAACCGTGGTTTTAAAAGTGCGATGCTTTCAAATAAATGTTTCCATATGATGAGTACGTAACGGTTAGTATACGCAGTACGAGCTATATTAAATACAGAATACAGGCGTTTATGGCTAAATTGAACTACTTTAGAACGCGCTTTTGATAAACACGAGCTAAAAATTATTGTAATACATGTAAAACGGATTAAGCTCAAAGTAGTACGTGCTCTGACCTAGCCAAGTAATTTAAACGCAGTCGAAGTATCCGATTGCCTTTCGCCAGAGACTTGTTTATACTGTCAGCGCAGCATTTCTTGAAGAAATTACATTTTAAATAGCACCTAAGATCACCTAAGAATTCAAGCAAAATAGCGTAACGCTTGTTGGTTCTAAAACCTGTGCTTCTAGTTGACACAACATTAATTCATTCCCTGTTTGCATACGAAGACAAATTCTGAACAAATGGTCGAACGGATTCGTCCAAATAACTGAATAAACCTCAATAGATACTCCTCAATGTCGCTTTAACAATTCGAGGACAGTTTTTTTGCAGTGATTATAAGGCTCTTTGGCTTATTCGCTTTTCGCTGAACGAAATCCCATCGTCAGGCTGCAATAGCTCTTTCACACTCCGGTTGATCGCATCTTCTCCATATCAAGTACAATGTCGGGAACAAATGTGCACAATTCGTCCAAATATACAGCAATGATCCACGCTTAATTATTTCAATGTCCTTTTAACAATTCAAAGTCCATTTCTTGCGGGTGATATTATCAGTGTTCTTTGAAATATTGTTATTTATACAAAACCCATCTCTATAATTGATGTCTCGGGAAAAAAAATTCGCCGTACTAGTACCCTCTAGGATATTCCAAACATATACGTAAAAGGCACTTGAAAAAAAAAGTAGTACTAAGTAAGGGAGGTAGGAGTAACGTGTTTAATCTGACTTTAATGAACAAATTAATGAGAATCGAGTGAGTGAGTGAGTGAGTGAGTGAGTGAGTGAGTGAGTGAGTGAGTGATCGAGTGCCATTCGAGTGCCTCCAAAAGCCCATGGCATGACTACGTCATCCATGAGCTAAAAAGAAATACTCAGACAAAGCACCACAAAACCAATTTTTTGGAAAAGATTCATAGATGACGTCATGTCTATGTGGAACACAAGCAGAGACAAAATAGAGGATTTCCTTGTAAAGGCAAACAGTTTTCACCGAACCATCAAATTCACGGCTGAAATCTCAGAAACAGAAACCACATTCTTAGACACAAAAGTGTACATGCAAAGGTGATAGATTAAAAAAGGAATCTATTCTTGACGCGCGAACGCATTTCAAAGCTACAGAAACCTTTTAATACCCGAATTTCTACTCGTGTCACCCACCAGGCGTCACGAAAGGCTTTATAAAAGGAGAAGCGTGAAGGCTTTTAAGAACAAATTCCTCTCAATTTACTTTTGAGGAAAACATGAGTAATTTCAAAACACGCCTGCAGAATAGAGATTACCCAGCTAGAATTGTAGAAAAAACACCTTTCAGAGATTAAATTCTCTGATAGAGAAATGTCGCTAGCGCAGAAAAACAAAACCGCACGTAAGAAAATACTGCCCTTTGTAACACAATACCATCCGGATTTGCCTAACCTAAAGGACACAATCATGGGGAAATGGCACCTTATAGAAAATCAACCGCAACTGAGAGAAATCTTTAAGGAGCCCCCCATCATCTCATAGCGTAAGGGAAAATCCCTAAAGGACATCCTAGTTAAAGCTAAGCTATGAAGGCTTTATTAGAATTTATTCATCCGCAAACTGCAGGAGTCGTGTAGGCTTGTCAACACTTTTATCACTGTTCAACTCTTAGCCTGCGAACAGCAGACGCATTTCCGGTCTTCGCTCTGCTATCAAGAGTCTTCTCTTATTCATTGCTTCGTCTGCTGTTTGCAGGCCAGTCAACTCTTATTTGTAACCGGGTATTATTTCATAATTTATGCGAAATAGAATAGTACCCTGCCAGCGGGATGCTGGAACACGATTAGCGACGGCGTTACGCAGACGTCCTTTTTCCGCGTGCAACAAAGGAAATAGGAGATGTCTGCACGCATGCAATATGTCCTCTAGCGAGGACATATCGTACCCTTGGGCGGAAACAGTAGATTTTTTCAGAATTGATGTAATTCTGATCACGAAAACTGAGAACGACATTCAGTCATATGATCAGACAATGATAAGACGTGAGTGCTCTCTAGGTATGAAAACATATTTTAAAAATAAGCATGACTTAACGGTTGGCTTGAGGCTTGTGCTAAGCTAGCCTGCGTAGCAAGCGTCTCCGTGCTGTTTCGGAGCAAAGAACGAGAAGCGAGAGTCAAAAAACGCGCGAAAAATGGCACGAGTAAGCGGGGAGGGGGTGGCTCCCTTTTTGGCTTACGTTTCATTGCTCAAGGCCAAAACCTAAAATCCCGTTCCTTGGTCTTTCTTTACTCCGAAACCAAAATGGAAACGCTTGTTACGCAGGCTAGTGCTAAGCTGATTAATAGCTTCTTTTCGTAAACACAGAACAAAAAGTAATGTGTGGGTTTTTGAATAGCAAACACAATTTGCACTCCGACTGAAATATTTGAAACTTGAAACCGAGTTTGTATTTTGATATGCAAAAACAAATGAAAAACAAAATGATTTGAAAATCATTTTATAGTAACTGATATGAGTAATATAACACGATGTTGTGGGTTATACAGTTAACAATGCTTGAAAGTATCGATTTCTGAAGACTAAAAATTGTCGTCATAGCCAAGGTTGTCATTGATGTAGCCTGCAAAAACATCCGTTTCTCCTCCCTCTTCGCCGCTGGGGACGCGACGAAGAGCGAGGAGAAACGGATGTTTTCGCAGGCTATCATTGATGATAATAATATAAAAGTTCCGTGTGGAAAAGACAATAATAATGATCGACATAATGAAACCTTTTTCCATCATCTGGTAAATTGCTAAGTTTTTGTTATAGACTGAACTGCAATTAATTATTTATTGTAGATTGACCTCTCGGTTCTATGAAGATCGATCATCACGCCGAGCGAGAACCTGGGAACGAGGTTGCGATCATCCACTGAGGAGGGGCATCGACCCTTGAGTCATCAATTTTAATTGGTATTTGCATGTTGATTTTCATTCCCAACCCTGAGGCTAATATTCTGAATGACATTTATTGTGGCCGCTTTGAAAGTGGGTTGGCTTGACCTTACGCAGACAGTGAGTCATGTTCTAAAACTATAGCGGAACAGCTAAATACGGTTTGACTAGACACAGTGGGCTACTTGAAAACATCTACTAGATCTATCTAGTGGTTCTGAAAACAAGGAGAAAAACTCTGGAGGCAACACAAGCCATAAACGCTTGACCTCATAATGTCAGCACCACATACGATGTTCTATCGTGGATATGGGTTCGAAACAAGTCTCCCGGTTATTATTGTATACTCAGTTGTGTCTCTATTCACAATTTCCGTGAACCTTCTTTTGTGCGTTGCCTATTGGAGGGATCCTTTTCGCGAGCTTCAAGCCGTTCAGAACTACTACATATTGAATTTAGGACTTGCAGATCTCATTATGGGTGCCCTTTCGGAGCCTTTGCTGATAGCCACATACTGGACCACCAACAACAACAACAACAACAGCAACGTAATTTTCTTCGTTCATTACTTATTTGCTATCATTTCCGCGTCTTGTTCCCTGTTGAACATAATGGCCCTCTCGATCGTCCGCTATTTTGCCGTCCAAAAGCCATTTGAGAGTCAAAACATCATTAATAAGAGGAACGTAAAAATCAGCATAGCCGTTATTTGGGGCATTGCAATTCACTTTGCTCTTCTTCCTGTTGCGGGATGGAGAGACAAAACATTTCAGTTATATTTATATGGTTTAGGATGTATCGTACCCACTGTTGTCTTCACGGNAGTCAAAACATCATTAATAAGAGGAACGTAAAAATCAGCATAGCCGTTATTTGGGGCATTGCAATTCACTTTGCTCTTCTTCCTGTTGCGGGATGGAGAGACAAAACATTTCAGTTATATTTATATGGTTTAGGATGTATCGTACCCACTGTTGTCTTCACGGCTTCATATTTCATGTTCTACCGTGCAATACGCAAACGCACAGCCATGATCCAACACATCGGGACAGAGGAGAAAAGTCAACTTTTGAGAAACACAATTCGTATTGAGAAAAAAGCGACACGAACAGTCTCAATGGTCCTTGTGGTTTTCTGGGTCTTATGGATCCCTTTTCTCATTTGTGATTTTGCTGTCGTTCAATGTCCAAACTGCAGAAGCTCCGCATCTCACCTCGTTCGCGACATTACTCTCTCTTTAGTTTACTTCAGTAGCGGAATAAATCCACTGATCTATGCGTGGCGAATAAAGGCATACAGAAGAGCTTTTCTGCGCGTCTTGGGCTTTAAGGTGCTTTCCCTAAGGGCGTCTGGAAAAGCCGAAAACCGGAATCGGGAAGAGGTACAGGAATTGAAACAGGAACAGGAAGCGGAACCGGAATAGGAACCGCAATGAAAAGAGGAACCTATATAAAGACAGGGACAACATTTATCTTAATTTAAGTTAATTTGGATTTAATTCTTATTTAGATATATAGGAAAAATAAGGGGGAAAAGGGAATTGAAACAGTGTATAGAAATATGAGAAGAAAAAGAAATAATCATTGAAAAGCCAGAGAAAAAAGAAACAAGAAAACACTCTTGAAATGTGAATCTAATCAATATAACCTTTCTTTATCTTTACCCTGTGACACATTGCGTTTTCGTGTCAAACATAATAGCGAACTTAAGTGACCAGAACGCTGACCGTCGCGGACTTCATGAATACCAACCGGAAGTTCAATGTTTCTCTTGATGGAACGCTTCTGTCTCACACAACGAATCCTTTTACCTTCCACTGTAGAATTTGATGAGTCAGAGCACTGAAAGACAGAAAATATCCACTTCCGGTTTCCGGCGCGGCTGAGTGTTGTGTCACTACTATGTGAGCGGTCTGATGTCTCATTTTCAGTTGCCAGATAGCACACCACCAAATGATCTAGCTAATAATTGTGGCAGCTATTTTGTACAGAAGACTGTTCGCATTATAATTAACTAGGAGTAATCGGAGCTTAGGAGAGTGCGTTCGATATGTTTGCTAGGCGTACAGTTAGCACAACCACAAAGGACTGCAAAGGACCGCAAACGAATATGCCGAAGAACGTAGGATCTATAAAGACCTGATCAGCAAAAATGAAAAGTAGACGTAGTACGATCAGCAGTTTTGCAGTATTCTGCTTGCAGAATTTAATATGTGTACAGGTAGCAGTTGAGGGGAAAGGGTGGATGGTTCTTGCGATAGATAACTATCATTATGGCATATTTTGAACGAAAGGGTGCGTACAGCGAAACCTCGATTTAAACTTTGTATCATAATGAAAAGGTTTTGAAGGCTAGTGATCAGCGTGATATCGTGTGGTTCGTCTTAAGTGCTTGTTATTCGAGGAGACACTGACCAGAGTGCTTCGGGCGTGTAAAAAGGACTTTTTGTTTTACTAGCGCAATAGATGTTCTACTGGGCGAAGTTGTTCGAAGGCCGATCAGCGCTTAACCCGGGTTTCTTTTTCTTTTGTTAAAAAACATTTCTTTGGATTATTTTCTCAGTTATTTTTAAGAGCGTCCAATCATCAACTTGTTGGCCAAATGAAGCCGGGTGGCGAGTTCGATTCTCGCCCGGGGCATGAAAATTTTCTTTGTCCCGGGCGAGCATGGTTTCTCCTCCTTCCGAGTTGAAAATGTTCACTAGAAGTGTGCCGCTCACTAGTGTATCATTAGAATTAATAAAAATAAAATAAAATAAATTTACGCAACCACGAGTTTGTGAGAAAAAAGCAA